ATTATTTTAACAGCTGTCGGGCGAGTGGCTTAGTAATGACAGCAGTCTGAAGTTGGTTGCAGTTTTTTCATCTCACACTGTATATACAGAAAAAAAAGTACCACACAACAAAAATTCCATCCGCCGATATACCAGTCCATAATTCATTTCTCCCATTTTATCGTCCGTTGCGCATATCCAGTAATTAATATTCTATTTCTTTCACAGAATTGTTTCGTAGTGCTGGTACCAAATACCTAATACTCCCGTCATCCCATCCCATCCCTCAACCGCAAACTAATTACACATACTCGTATTAATTCTCAAATCATTACACGCACAATTGTTGCATTCCGGGTGTAAATTAAGTACCATTCACCACTCACACGCCATTAGCGGAACTGACACCTTCCCAGCAGATATACTGCCTTTAACATAATTACACCTCATAAGAAAGAAGAACATTATCTCCAACCTAATTACCCATCGACATACACCATTCATTCGTTCTCTCATTGACTTGACAATATTTAAATACCGAACTTTATCTCCATTATAATTAATGATATTTTTGCTGGGTGTTATTATGGCTATAATTAAATTAATCAACCACCAGCAGCAACATTTGAGAACTTTAACCAGACATCTTAAGTAGTAAATAATTTATTTGTTATTGAAAATGGAGGTAGGTATAGCTAATGTCGATGCGGCATTAACTTACACCTTCAATTTATATATTTTTATATTGATATTTAATACGAAAAGTTCGTAATTACCATCGTTGGTACTAAATGTGTTTGAGACAGCAAAATTAAATTTGAATTTAAATGGAATTTTGAATATTTTTAAATCATCCAATAATTGGCATTGCAGAAAATGTCGTTATTGCACGAGCATTTAAAATTAAATTTCATACTTTTAAAGCATAGCACTGCAAATAGTTTTATCAATCATCGATACTGAAATGAATATTGATGTTATCAGTGTTATTATAAAGCTAACACATTTGATGTACATGTGTGTGTGCGTGTGTAAATAAATATTGTAAATCAATCAATGCATTTTTAAGCAAACATGCATTTATATCGTTGATGTTATTCGTTTTTAATAATCAATATTTGTTATTTAAATATATAAAAAAAATTAGAAGATTGCAGTAGCAATAATTTCGAAAGTATAAAGTGAGTTTGTCAACAAAAATTTTGAACAAAAAAGGTGTTATATCCGTTCGGATATTCGAATTGTATAACATCCAATTTGTTAACAATTAAAAAGAGTGTTAAACTAATTTTCCAATTATCCCTATCTATCTTTCGGCAAAACCACACATTTTTCGTATCGAATCGGATGAAAATAATTTTCCAATTATCGAAAAAAAAAAAAATAAAAAAAAAAAAAAAAAAAAAAATATATATATATATATATATATATATATATATATATATATATATATATATATATATATATATATATATATATATATATATATATATATATACATATATATATATATATATACATATATATATTTTTTTTTTTTTTTTTGAAAATCGAGAATTGGAAAATTATTTTCATCCGATTCGATTCGAAAAATGTGTGGTTTTGCCGATAGATGTATACCACCAGCCAATGTTCGATTATTTAAATTTGTTTTGACTTGTGTTATGATTATTCAAATTGTTGACCCTATATGGAGTAGCCTGCGAAGTAGTGGGCCAATATTCTCCATTTCGTATCGGACCTAAAAAAATGATATAAATATTGCGACGTGCCAGATTTGGACTACAACGACTAATTCCTTCACTTTATATGAGACATGTGGTAATTTTTAGAAAATGCTAAAATATGCGTGCGGTATAGCCGAAGTATTAAATCTTTATACTTTATCTTATTTATCTAATAAAGGTAAAACCAGTAAAGAAAGTCGGGCGGGGCCGACTTTATGATACCCTACACCACTTTGCTATTTTAGTAGAGTTCCACATAACAATTAAAAGTTTTTATGGGAGAATTCAATCATACAAGCTATGATTATAATTTAAAGTGCAAAGGACTAAATATGCCGAAGATAGATATAAAGATATATATATGTATATATATATATATATATATATATATATATATATATATATATATATATATATATATATATATATATATATATATATATATATATATATATATATATATATATATATATGGGAGCTATATCGAAATCTGAACCGATCTCGATGAAATTTGGCAAAGATATTTCTGAGCTGTATTTGATATATTTCCTGAATATCGTTGTTACGGAGTGCATATTACGGTTGTGGGTAACAAATATAACAAATCTGATGAACAATATATATGGAAGCTATAGCTATATCTGAACCGATCTTCACCAAATTTGACATACTAGCTTCTAGAATCAATTCGGTCGTAAGTGCCAAATTCCATCCCATTTAAATCCCATGCAATATTACACGTTTTGTGCACAATAAAAAGCAAATCGGACGAAGATATATATGGGAGTTATATCTAAATTTTGAACGATTATCTCCAATTCCAACAAATGATCTGTGCAGGATTTCATCAGGATCGGGCAATAAATGCGACCTGTACTTTGTTTACAAAAATACATGGACAGACGGACAGACGGACGGACGGACATGCATAAATCGACTCAGAATGTGATTCTATGCAGATCATAAAAGGAACTATGGGTCTATATCGTTTCCTTCTGCCTGTTACAAACAAATGCACAAAGACATAATACTCTGACCACCTTGTGGTGTAGGGTATAAATATTTTCGACGATTTAGCCCTGTCCGTCTGTCCGTCTGTTGTAATCACGCTACAGTCTAAACGAATTAAGATAGAAAGGTAAAATTTTGAACAGATCCCTCTTTTGTCTGCAGGCAGGTCAAGTTCGAAGATGGGCTATATCGGTCCACGATATCGTATAGCCCCATATAACGGTACCCCCGATATTCGGTATTTTGATTATGTTAGCCACATTTTTCAATGGAATTGTCTTAAAATCCACACAAGTAGTTCCATGTGGGTACTTTATAACTCGGCAGAGAATTATCTATATAGGTCCACAATATCGTATAGCCCCCATATAACGGTACCCCCACGGTATTCGGTATTTTGATGATTTTAGCCACATTTTTCAATGGTATTGTCTGAAACTCCACAAAAGGAGTCCCTTGTGGGCATTTTACCCCCTCCAAAAGAATTGTCTATATAGGTCCACGATATCGTATATCCCCCATATAACTGTACCCCCCGATATTCGGTATTTTGATGATGTTAACCACATTTTTCAATGGAATTGTCTTAAAATCCACACAAGTAGTTCCTTGTGAGTACTTCACCCCCTGAGAGAGAATTGTCTATACAGGTCCACGATATCGTATATCCCCCATATAACCGTACCCCCGATATTCGGTATTTTTATGATTTTACCCACATTTTTCATCGGAATTGTCTGAAAATCCACACAAGGAGTTCCTTGTGGGTACTTTATACGTCGGCAGAGATATATCTATATAGGTCCACGATATCGTATAGCCCTCATATAACGGTACCCCCGATATTCGGTATTTTGATGTTTTTAGCCACAGTTTTCAACGGAATGGTCACAAGGGGTTCTTTGTACACAAGGGGTTCTTTGTCAGCACTTTACCCCCCGACAGAGAATTCTCTATATAGGTTAACGATAACATATTGCTCCCATATAACGATACCCCGCGATATTCGGTATTTTGATGATTTTAGCCACATTTACCAATTGTATTGTCTGAAAATCCACACAAGGAGTTCTTTGTGAGCACTTTACCCCTGAAACGGAATTGTCTATATAGGTCCACAATATCGTATATCCTCCATATAACGGTACTCCCTTATATTCCGTATTTTGATGATTTTAGCCATTTTAGCCCATGGAATTATCTGAAAATCCACACAAGGAGTTCCTTGTGAGTACTTTTCACGCAGACATAGATTTGTCTTTATAGGTCCACAATATCGTATATCCCCCCATATCGGCACCTTCCTATATTAGATGGAATTTTTAATGGATTTTATTTATTTATTTATTTATTTATTTTTTTTTTTTGAAAATTTTCTAATTCGTTCCAAATGGTGGAGGGTATTCAAAGTTCGGCCCGGCCGAACTTACTGCTTTTTTACTTGTTTCATTTGCTTTCATTAAAAAAAAATTAAAAATATATATATAAACTTTGACTTTTTTGCTGTTTTTTTTTTTTTTTTTTTTGTATCTCACCCTGTATATGCACCATTTATATATCACTTGAAAGTTTATGTTAGTACTTTTTTTTATTTTGAAAGCTTAAAAGAAATCCTTGTTTATAAAGACGTTTTTAATGATACTTCGATAATGCATCTTTGATAGCTAGCCATATAAGGAATCTCTGTCCATTGAGGAAACACTGTTAGTGAACTACGGAAAATTGTTCACAAACATACAAACTCAAAAATTTGTGAAATGTTGTAAAAAATTCCATCCCCAAAGCCACAATCAAGTTGTCTCATTTTGCCATGAGATTAAATCTAAAGTTATTGCCTTTAAAAAGTTTTGCGTAGCATTTCATAAACTTGGCTAACTTTGTCAATATAAATTTATATTACTTTTGAAACATCTCCATGGGTGAGTGTATGAAGCCTCGACCACAATATCGACACAATCCCCACTAAATTTTTACTTTTCTTTATTAGACCCAACACAAATCTGATATTAAATTTCTGAGGAAAACAGAGAGTTTATTTTCCAATTATTATTACTATGTTTAAAAAAAAAGAACTTAAATGGCCCTGTTCAATATGCCATTGAAAAGCTTGAGTGTTCTCAGAATGACAATCACAATTTTGCCCCACATAGATCATTTCCACACACACACACATACACACACATTTCAACCGCAGTAAATCACCGAGATTCACATCAGCACTGATATAAATCAGACATTTTCTTAATTTGATTTTGATTTGTTCTTGGAAAAGCTTTCATTTACCTGTAACTCGAGAGATTTCCTATTGAGCCGTATTACTTTAATATATATCCATATGTTCTGGGACAGATAAAGGATTCACACACACACACACAAGCACGGACTCATACAGACACCTTGATGTGTCCTACAGCAGCCAAGACATTTGTTTGTGTTACAATGTCTTGTTGGTTAACACGCCAACAATAACAACAAACAAACACACACACGCGCGTACAACAGATAAGAACAACAAATGTAAACTTTGTATTATTGGCTTCTTCTGAATTATCCACTAGAATTCTGCTGCTGCTGCTCTGTTATTTTAAATCAAATAACGGTAATTTTACACTATCTTGATATTGTTGGGACCACAATGTTATTTTCATTTTTCCGTTGTAGTATTTCGAAATAGTTTGGCTTGGACCATTGATAGCTTATGGCATGTCCCGCATCATTGAGATTTTCCACATGAATAATCTCAAAACAGATATCGGTGAAGGGAATTTCCGAGAAATTTGTTAGGAGGAATATTTTTTTGTTTCGATTTGGTTTCAAACTTTATCTTTGATGTTTCACTGGCTTTGTTTTGTTTGGGGGAGAGCACACATTTTCTTGGTGACATTTGTTTTTTACACACTCACTCACTCACATTATCCTACAACTGTAGTAATCATGTGTTATTTTTGCTTTACGTTTCTTTATTTTTTGGTCACACTCACATCCACTTTCACACTCACATCTCTCAGCCAGCCATGTGAGGGAATATTTAATGCTCGCACAACATTTTAGTGGCCGTTGTTTTTTTCATCGCACGACACCGTGTCGCAATAATACAACCGTCATTGTTGGCGGTGGCAACCTTTGGCTATCACGTTCTTCGACCAGACCAGAGTTTGCGTTTTGTTGTCTTTCCGCCGGCTTTAGTTCATTGGCAACGTACTCGCTGGCAGCGACTTTAATACTACTGACCTAACTGTTATTTACTTGTCAAGCTTAACATCTGCTGCTACTGCTGCTGATAGTCTTCGTGTCCATCCGTCCATCCGTCCGTCCGTCCGTCCTGCCGACCCATCTACTCAATACTCTTCTGCTATAATTCGTGTGTTCTTTGTCCTGCTCTTCTTCCTCCCGCTGCTTACCAACATTTTTGCAGCAGCTTTTGGGTTCGTAACATTTGCTTGTCGATTGCCTGCTGTTACGGTCCCTTACTCTAGGTCAGGGTTTTGAATGGGGAAAAGAGTAAATTTCTTCAGCAATGCTGTTGTGAAAATTGAGAGTTATGTTAGAAGAGAAAGAGAGAGTGACAACTATGGGTCACACATCTCTTATGCTTGCCTACTTGCAACCTTGACTAGCTTTGAACTTCGAAATTATAATGGTATATTTATGCGTATAACCTATCAATATCCTGTCGAACAGAAAAATGTTTAAGTGGGAAACGTTTGTGTTTGTAACGAACATGTTGTTCAAACCACCACATAAAAGTTGGGCTTTTGTGCTAGTTGATCAATAGTTGGCCAATATTGTCCATTTACTATCGGGCCTAAATAAATACGATATAAATATTGTGACATCCCAGTTCTGGTCTATATGGGTAACTTTATCATAAAATCCATATTCATCCCAAGTTTCTGGTTGAGAGAAATATATAGATAATCGCGAAAAAATCGCTGAATTTTTTCGCAAGTTTTGACAGAAAAAAGTACTGAAAATTGTGACCCTTTGTGGCTAAGATACAAGAAGGGTTTCGCAGATATGTAAATATGCAAAAATGTTTGTATGTGTAAAAATTGAAGAGAGTTGAATGCCAATGGGAAGAAATGATCCGATCTCTACCATCTTTATGCCAGATTTTGTGTTGATGGAAATATTGAGATGAGCCAAGTCTGAATGGAATCGGATATTAATTTCGCGTTTTATGAGCACCATGGATATTCAAAATTTTGAACATTTGGGGGGGGGGGGGAGACACCAGAAGGAAATGACCGATATATCCCATCTTCAAAACCGACCTTGTGTTAGTAAAAATAAAGAAATGGATTTTAAAAACGTTTTGGTTATTCAAAACTTTGACCCTTTGTTAGGGAGGTACCAATAGGAATGGTCCGATGTGTACCACCTGTATAACAGATATTGTGTTGATAGAAAAATTGTGTCGTTCCTAATGGATTCGGATGTTTATTTCGCGTTTTATGAGCTTCATGGATATTCAAAATTTAGCCCTTTTGTGGGGGAGGTACTTGGTAGAGTAAACCGATATTGGCCATTTTCGCACTTGACGTAGCACTGACGCAAATATTTGGATTTACAAAGTTGGAGCAAAATTAGAGCAAGATTATTGTTTATTTTTCTGTGCAGAAAATATATTTTTTTGGTGGATGATGAAGTGGACCGATATTGCCCATCTCCGAACTCGACCAAAGCTTGACAAAAATATTACGATGTAGCAAGTTTGGACCAAATCGGATACTCCCTTCGAGAGTTAACGTGCGTACTAACCAGACAGAGAGACGGATATCGCAAGATCTACTCCAAATATCCTGAAACGGATTTGATACAAGGAAACATAGGGTCTACAGGCTGAGATAAAAAATGTCGGAAATAGCATCAAATTTTAGAATAAGTTTAGATTGTTCGAATTGGTCACCTTTTGGCTTTCAAACGGCCAATGAAACCGTCACACACGAATGTTGATCTGCGGTATTTTGGCTTGCTTGATGTGATCGACACTTTGGTTTTTAGTGCCAACTTTGCTCTTCAAAATAATCCAGACACAATAGTCCAACGGATTGGTATGCGGAGATTTTGGTGGCCATTGCGCTCTGGAAATGAAGAGAGGAACCTCATTTGGTAACCATTCAATGGGGGCTATATGAAGACGTAGATACAACACATACAATTTTCTGTCGTAGGCTGCGAAATTCAAATACCAAATTTGAAACAGTAGGCAGTAGTATCCAATACGGACTTTAAATACCAAATTTGAAACATTTCCGGTGAATAATGTCGCTTAAGTCACCAAAATACTTAAAATAGGGAGGTGCCTTTAAATAGGGGCTATACCGAAACGTGGACCTACATGGCCCATTTTCTATACCAAAAGTCTTGCAGACATGATATACATAATTGTATCAACCTACTTCATTTCGTTTGGAAGCTAGAGTGATTTCCACAGACCGACAGACGGACGGACATCGCTAAATCGATATAGAATTTTATGCTGATCAAGAATACTTGTGGTGTTACAAACGGAATGCTCTCCATACTATGGTGCTGGGTATAAAAGTCCAAGTCGCTCTTAACAAAATCATAGATTTCTTAGGAAAATATCTTACTGGCAAAAAATGTTAATTGTTCATATTTTTTAAGGAAATCTTCATGATTACAAGATTCAGATTTAGTAAGAATATGTCGGGGATTATTTGGAGATTACTTAAGAATATTATACTTTGTTGTTATTCAAAAATTACACAGTCTTGCATACTTTGAAGTAATATAAAGGGGCATATAATTACAAATAATTTGCTTATATTTTTATATTATTTATTACACTTTATATATTACACTTATATTCACATAATGAAGGATAAACTTTCGTTACATCTCAATTACCGTTCCATAACAACAGCATTAAAACTTCCGTTGGCAATTTCCCCGAACTACGAGCCGTTGCAAATCTCCTCTACAACACCTGGCGCCAAGTGCGCTACTACAAGTGTGCAGCTTTGTAAAGCTGGTAATTTTTCGAACTTAAAAAAAAAAATAGCGTATGAAATACGATGCCACATTAACTACAAAACTATGCTGGGAAAAATCGCAAAACATCATAAAACTCTAAACCAAACTAAATCCTCAAATGTTCATCCACTTTGTGCCGGCTTTAGCAAAATCTTTTGAATTTAGTTTATGTGGTGGTGGTAGTGGTAGTGGTGGTCGTGTTGAATGTTGTTTTGTTTTGGGTTTCTACAACGTGTTGTTTGGTGTATGCTAAGCTGATGTCTTGCGAAAAAGAAGAGAAGAATGAGGGATGTAAGCAAATGTTTAGAATTTGTATTCCATTTTGGAGAGCAAAAGTCCACGAAAAGATTAATATCTATGGATGATGGTGAAACATAGTTGGTAACGTCTTATAAGAGAAGGTGGAATGATTTTTTTTTTTTTTATTTTATGTTTTAAAATATTTAAAAGGATTGAATAAACTTTTATTTTTATATATTCATATAAATACTTTGAACAATACTTTTAGCCTTTTTGGATGGAATTATGGCTACGAATTTCGCTAAATACCATTGAACAAAAATGTACAACTTAATGCTTTTGGTAATAGATATCATGTCCAGCAGAGTCGAACCAGGTATGTGTGTCCGTCTGTCAATGTTAATTTGAAATGAAGCAACAGTTCGCAATTATGGCCCGATCCTCACGAAATTTAGCATGGAGGTGGGGTTAGGGTCAGAATAGAAGCCTATTTTTGGAAACGATCGCAAAATATTTGGGGGTTATAATGGACCAAACAATGAACAAAGCACTGATTTTGCTGTTGCATGTGGAGAGAGTTTAGGACAGGTCAGAAGCCTATCAATTTGGATGGACAGCGGATAATATTTAGAGAGTGAAATTAACACTTTGGTTTAAAAGATACAAAAAATTTCATTTATCCGCTAATATTTTTAACACTCATAATCTTAAATACATGAAAAGGCCACTTAAGACAGTTTCTTTGATGCTGGTAGCAATGATAACGAATATCTAAAAAAAAAATATGTACCATCTACACATAACTCAAAAACGGCTGGACTGATTTTAACAATTCGTAGAGTTGTAGAATGGCCTCTTAGCTAAAAAAAAATAATTTTAAAAATCGGAATTTCGTGTTTGTTCGGTATTAGCGCGACAGAGGGCAAATGTCATCGGTCATAATCAAAGGTAACATTTTTCAAGGACTTTATGCGATTATTTCAAAACAAAATCGACAAAATCCATCTTAGGAGGCCTTTCAAACTTTATAGTATTGTAGCGTATTACATGGTGGTCCTCGCACGATTATAGTCTTTGCCTACATATTTTCATTATGATAAAATAACCCTAGACTTACAATAACACTGTGCAACAAACTATAACAGGAAAAACTCAACGGATTTAGAAAGCAGAGAGATACATACGTATCGGCATTTTGAAATTTCACATCATAAAGTAACCTAAACAGAGAGGAAAAGTGGCACCACTTTTCCTCTCTTTCAACTTTTATACCTACGGAGGGTATACTAAGTTTGTCATTTCGTTTGTATCACCTCATTTTAGTATATATATTCTTGATCAGCATACAATTCTATGTCGATTTAGCGATGTTCGTCCGTTTATGCGTCTGCGGAATCACTCTAGCAGATTGATAAAATTTTACACAAATGTATATTATGGACCTCTGGTATTAAAAATGGGCCATGTAGGTCCACATATTGGTATAGCCCCCCTATTATGGTACCTCCCTATTTTCGGTATTTTGATGATTTTAGCGACATTATTCACCGGCATTGTTTCAAATTTGGTACTTAAAGTGCGTAATGAAAACTACAGTCTATGACAGAAAATTGGCTGTGCAGGTTTAAGTCTTCGTATACCCACAATATAATGATGCCTCCCGATACTCGATATTTTGATGACTTTAGCGACATTATTCACCGGAATTGTTTCAAATTTGGTACTTGAAGTTCGTAATGGATACTACAGCGTATGGCAGAAAATTGTCTGTGCAGGTCCACGTCTTCGTATAGCCCCCACATAACGCTACATCCCAAAATTTGGTATTTTGATGATTTTAGCGACATTATTCACCGGAATTGTTTCAAATTTGGCATTTGAAGTTCGAAATGGATACTACAGCCTGTGAAAATTGTATGTACATGTCCACGTTTTAGTATAGCCCCAATATAATATATTTTAACGGATTTTATTTTTCGTCCCAAATGGT